ACTGCACAGTTCATACTGAGGCGCAAGGAGAAGTAGAACTCCCCCAAACTGGAGCCGATACCAAACCCTCCCGAGCCGTAAACCCGAAGCCGCACATAGTTCTCACTAGCAGGGTTTCCAAAGCTTCGGTGTCCTGTGGACAGCAATACGCGTTATACCCCCACCGCCGTGTATTAACTTTCTTCGAGCATCACAAGCTGCGCAGCCCCGATATCACACATTTTCAGGTACCTCAGTTTCATTTGTTTTCTGTATCTTTTGCCGCCGCTTCGGTTCAGCACTTTTAGCATACTCCCCAAAAGTGCATGGGAATGTATGACAGTCCGGGCAGTTGGGGCGGCAGTGGGGAGGGTAGATAGTATATCCATGTCATCTCAGCGGTCATTTGCTTCAACGGCCCAGCAAACCTCTTTGGCAAGTTAGCTATGCGTGGTGTGCAGTCGCCATGGCTGTGATGCCGAGCGACATCCGTGCTAGCACACAGCAAAGCGTTGCTGGAAGAGTGACCTGGCTGAATGGATGTATCACCTCCCCAGACAATGAAATCCCTCAGGTCCCTAATCATAAGGCTTCTCCATGACATGAAACGGTATTGTACTGGGGTCATGTATCATCCAAGAGCAGTATGCAGACTTGTTTCCAAGGGGGTGTGATTACGTGGAAATCTAGTCCCCGTTTGGACACCTGTAGGCAGTCTGCCTTGTTTGGTTGTCATGAGACTTGACCTGTTTTCGAGTTTCGTCAGATGCAGTAAAAGCTATTCTTCGCATTAAGTTTGTGAGTTTTCTCGAGACCTGCTCACCAAAGATTTGACACCAAACCCCAAACCACTGTTTTGCCAGTCTTTCTAGGAGGTCTCCGTATTGTTTTTGTTCTGGTATTCGTAGTAGAAACCCCAAAAAGGATGTGCCATTGGAGCGTGTACATGGAGCCCCAAGTACCATTCGTAGAACCCAAGCGCCCGCAAATGGGACCTACACAACTTGGCTGGTAGGTTAGCCCCAAATCCTAAAACCTAAGCCCCAAACCCCAAGACCTAAACCTCAAGCCCTTGATCCTCAACCCTCAGCCCCAGATAAATACAAATTGTATACGTAGAGCAAAAGAGAAACAACAAAATCACACAACATCTCCACGAAACTCAGGTCCTGAAACCGCTGTACAATTTCTAGGCCCTAAACCCTCAGGGTAAGCCCCAAACTTCGACCCTTCGTAGGATTAGATGGCCCGCCTGGTTCCTTTGAGCCATATGCTCGCAGCTTCTGGCGTGGCTTTGTCACTAGCAGCTTATCCCGTATCAAGCCCTGAGCTTCAGGGTTTAGGGCTTAAGGCTTGGGGTTTACCCTTATAGGGTTTAGGGTTTCGGGCTTAGATAGCTTCCTAAGCCCTAAGCCAAAGTACCTGAAACTGTTTTCAGGGTTAAGAGTTATCAGTAGAAGCCCCCTAAAGTGCATTTGAATTGTGAAGCCTGAAGAGCCTGAAAGCCAAGTTTAAGTAGTAGGGCCCAGGATGAGGGTTTAGGGGTTTAGGGTTTGGGTCCATTCAGAGTTCATGGCGCGGAGGATTAAGAGGACGATAGAGATCGTACCAAGGGATCTGCGGGAGGTTACCGTTGTGCAGAGCGCACAATTCGAACCCTCGAACACCTTCTGCCTACATCCAGCAAAACACTTACGCTGTGATCTATGGCTCAGTGTCCTCTCCAATTCCAACTGCGAAAGACCAAAGTGCTCCAACGCCTCGAGCCCGAGTCAAATTATTTTCAGCCCTCGAAGACGTCCTCAGCGTGTCAACGCCATGGGCTTGTTTGGGAAACTGCAGTACGGCTCTTGTGCATCATAATCACTAGCACATGGCGATCCTCAAGCTAAAGGCGCATGTTTCCCAATCTCCAGCGGGAATTCAAGCTAGTCATTTTCAGGATTAGAATGCGCAGCCTTCTTTTTGAGAATATAGTACAAGTTGTGCTCGCATATACACTTGACCTAAACCAGACAACCTGAATGGATCTGGGACTTTCTCTTAGTCACTCCAAGGCGGAAGGCCTACAAGAGGAGAAGAAACTCAAGGGTTAATAGGGGATAATGGATTATATAAGGGTCCTTCTAAAGTGGTTATAGGGTATATATCGGGGTTATATAGGGATAATGGAAAAGAAAGTTGAGACTACTATACTGGGTTATACAGATTAGAGTTTAGGGTTAAGGGAAGAAACCTGGCGTTGTTGTCCTCCTTGATTTGGTGGCATATCATGGACGAGCTAGGGAGCATGCTTTGGATAGGTAGCTATTCCCGAGCCGAGGGCTCTTCAGTAGTTGTTTGGTTTCGGGCACCTCGACGCCAAAAGTAGGTACAACAATAGCCCAAAACAAAAAAAATAGCCCCAAGGGCAATTATTCTGCATACTTTTAGGGTTCAGGTAGTTAAATTTTGACTCCTGCCATGCACCCGCAGCAAACCCAGGAAAGTCAGTATATGGGAGCCTGTGGGTATAGACCGTAGGGCAAAGCTTAATCCAAATCCCTAAGCCCTCAAAGCCCCACACCCCTAAACCCTAAACTCTGAAGTCCTAGCCGCAAACCCCGAAACATTACAAACCCTCAACCCTAGATACTCCACACACTTAAATCCAATTTCAATCATTCAAAAGATTAGGCTGCCCTGCTGGGCGTGTGGTATGGACTAGCCAATTCCAGTGGGCTCACTGCCTTAGAGAGTCGAGAGAGGCTCGGTTTCGGGTTTGGGGTTTGGGTTGGGATTCAAGGTTTAGGGTTTGGAGTTTGGGGTTTGGGGTTTTGGGTGCAGGGTGAAGTGTTTCAGGGTTCGGGGTGGGGGGGGGGGCTTTGCTAGGGCTGGAAGGCCTTAAAAGGTGGAAATTGGGCACCTACCTGATGTAATTGGCTTTACAATTTAGGGTATAGGGTCTCTAACCATCTCTTGAAAATGATCTTCAATAAGCAGCCGACATGTACTTCTAGTAGGGTTCCAGGGCAGATTAATGGTTGAAGGACAAAGGGTTTCTGATGCTTTGTGGCTACCCGGCCCTTTACCCTGAGGCTTGCTTGCATTCCCCTACGTGCGAGCGCGGTGCGCTAAACTCAGGTTGGTGGTTCAGGCCCCCTCCCTTCACTAAAATGACCAGGGGCCCGCCGAGCTACGGTTCTTTTTGAATCGGCATCTTTTGTTGCATGTTTGCTGGGGGGTTATTGTTGTCTGTTCAAGTACACCCTCCAGGGCGTGTAGAATCACAACCCGCATGGAAGTTGCACAGCATGCTCCTAGAACGGACTCCATACTCCCCCTGTAATCCTGGTCTATCAACGCGGTCCCTACGTGATTCTTTCGTAGAGAAACACCCACATGTCGCCCTTGCCCTGGGATGGGTAGCTACGGTTTGGGATTCAGGGTTTAAGGTCTAGCGTTCAGGGCCAGTTTAGGGTTTGGAGTTTACGGCTTAGGGATGAGGGTTTTAGGGTCAAAGGCTTTGGGTTGGAGGTGTAGGGCCTAGGGTTTAGGGTTCAGAGCTTTGGTTGAAGGTCTGTGGCCTGGGGTTTGAAGGTTTTTGGTAGCGACACCTCCAAGCTAAGGATACTGGGATCATGCACCAACCGACCTATAATTATAGTTCAAAAGGACCATATCTTCATGCAAGGCCACTTCGGGTTTTCCGTGTTCGTTTGACTAAGTGGGACCACAGGAAATACCCACACTTCCATACCCTACCCCTTTCTTAAGGTTCCTAAGTTTGTAGAGGTAAGATTCTTGACGTAGAGCTAGGTGCCCAAAAAGCGGTAGGGCATATAGGGTATACGGGTCTAGGTACTGTACATCAATTGCATTTCCCTTCTCAACAACTGGCCTGCTTGTTACACGGCGTTTCAATTGTAGGGCGTGAGCCAGAGAAATGCTGTGTGGTGTGTGGCTCCAGTCCTCTCAACTTTGAACCCTAAACCCTACCAAGGGAACCGAAACCCTGGAAATTCTTGGGGTTCCCTAA